CACAACCATATTGCAAGTACGCGCCATCGATCGGGATTCCGGTAAATTTGGTTTACTGAGATACAAGCTCTACGATGAAGAGGATTTCCGCAACGAAAATCTAGTAAGCTTCTGGGGCTCTGCTTACTAAAAAGATTTTAACTCTAGCCTTATTCCAGCCTTCTACATACTTTATGTTAGCCGAGGATACGGGTACTTTGCGTACCGCGAGACCTTTCAATGATGCCAAATTCCCCATGGTATTCTACGTGGAGGCCAGTGATAATGATGCCCAGGAGCAGGGCTCGCATCACACAAGAGCCCGCATCGTAGTCAATCAGTTAACAGATGTAAACCGTTTGGCGCTGGCTTTCTCTAATGCCGCACCCAATAAGATTCGGAATCATTACACGGCATTGGAAGAGCTGCTTGAGGAGAGGACCAATGGCTTAGTCAGTGGTATCGAACGTATTAGCAATCGGAAATACGCAACGAGCAACGGCACGGTTGTCGAGAATCCCGAAGCAACCGATGTCTGGTTTTATCTAATCGATCCAAAATCGGAGAAGCTACTAGGCCGTAACGACAGCATCATCCAAGAGACGCTGCTGGAACCATCAGTGGGCTCGGAACTTAACTTGGCGGCATCGAACCTAGCGCACGCTAATGCCGATGGCATCCACGCACCAATTCAGATAAGAGAGCAAGTGCACAAGGTAAGAAAATTGAGTGGGGGAATCTAGGAGGCAATACTAATAGAAATAACTCATTAAAGATCAAAGCTGCAATTGCCATCGATGATGAGGTATTTTCTTTCACGCTTATATCCATATCGATTATAATCCTAATACTGGGTACAGTCGGCATAATATACATATGCATATCATGGTCCAAGTAAGTAATAGCTCTTGAATGCTTTAGCAATTCCCCATTAAATGTTTATTTTCCTATGCAGATATAAGAACTTTAAGCAGCGCATTCGGCATTACTCGGCACCAACTCCGACACGCTACGATCCCGTGATCGTCAACTCGCAAGCCGCAAATTCTGGCGATGCTGTGGCCAACTTGAAGGAGTATGAAACCCAAATGCTGGCCATGGCTGTGCCACCGGATGGGGACGAGGATTTACAACTGGATTTTAGCGCAAAGAATCATGCATTTTCTCTAGACAATGTCAGCTATATAACACACAAACAGAATAGCGGAGGCGGAGCTGGAGGAGAAATGCAGTCGAGTCCCACGCATGTGGATGCGAGCACGGGAACAATTTCAACCATTCGCCATAATAATCTCAATAACATAGCCAATAATATAAACAACAATAACAACAACAACAACAATTTAACACTAAACAATCGTCAGAATACATTTAATCGCACACTAGAAATGAATTCCCGCAACAATGCCAATCCCCTGGGCATGCCCGGAAATGGCAACCCAGCCACCCTAACCTTGGGGCGTATTAAGCACCATAATAGCAATCAATATCAGAATGATGGCTATAAATATGACACATCCAGCCGGAATAATTTGGCCAATGCAAATGCCCAAAACAATGGCTACAGTACGATGGGTCGACGCGGCAATACTTTTGGCGGTATCGCCTCATTGAACGGGGGCAATGAGTTCATGACTAACACTTTGGGTCGGAATAACCAGCAAAATAATCGTTTATACGCTGGCGAATTGCCCATAGCCAATCCGTTGTTTCAAAGGTGGGTTTATTTAATTTTCTCCCTCTTAATTCTTAGCATATTTATTAATTACCAAAATTTCAGATCGAACGGCGATGTGAGTCAAAATCATATGAGTTTCACCAATGAAAATGTGATTTTCGGTAAGCGAGACTACGGACAAATGAGCTTCTCATATTTAAACGACTTGGATCGGTCTGAGGTGGAGACAACAACAGAGCTATGAATAGAAAACTAACTGCAAATTAGTGTCAAATTGGGTGTATTTATTAATGTTGTATTTATGTACATAAGTATGTCATTTGCATTAAATGAATTTAAGTAGTTGTATATTCTCAAAAATGTTATAGATAATTAAACTGAATGAGCTGTTGCCATCATATTGAGAATGTGTATATATAATTTAAAATATAAAGAAGAAACTGATAAGATTGAATTATTTTTGTACATAAGCAGCCGCAAACTGCAGTCATTAGTTTTACAAAGTTAAAGTATGCAAGCATACTGCATTTAGAGCAAGATTGATTTTGTACTTAAAATATTACCATTTTTGCATAGGCAAAATGGTAAAGCGTAAAATAAGTAATACAATATAAATTGTAAGTTCTTGAACTATTTTTTATCAACATTTTCAATAAAAATTTGGTCACAGACAAGCCCGTATTGCCTGTTAAACTGTGTGCATGTGAGCATTATTATTATAAAATAAAGTTTAGCTAATATTAAAAGTCGGCTTTTTTGCGAAATATTTATTTATAAATATTTTATTAAAACCCTACATAGCTTGTAGTTTGTGTGATAGCTTGTTTATGATATTTAACATATATCATATTAGTTGGATTTTTCGTTTGCCACGTGCACAGCATATGAAATATTAAATGGCTCTTCCTTCCACTTAGTCTTAAATAAAATCGAATTAACACCTATTAGTCATACATTTGAAAAGACGTTTATTGCGTGAACTACGAACGTACACACTTATTTACTATTTAGTATGTACATATGTATCTTCATTTTCAATGTATGCACTATTGTATTTTTCCTTTACCGAGGCATGGTCACACATTTATACAAATAACAATCGATAAGTCAATTTTTCTTGCTTCTGCAAACCGGCGAGATGGCAAAGTTAGATGAGCGTATTGGATTTATTGGAGGCGGAAATATGGCATTTTCGATTGGTTCCGGCCTTATTCGCGGTGGAATTGTTAAGGCCAGCCAGGTGATGGTGTCGGGACCGCATATTGAAAATCTGTCCCGCTGGCGTGAACTAGGCGCAACTACAACCGATGACAACAACGATGTCTTGGAGCACACAGATATTATTTTCATCTGCGTAAAGCCACATATGCTGGGGCCTTGTGCAGCACAACTTAAATACAAACACGTTCCGTCGGCAAAGGACGCAAACAAACTGTTCGTCTCAGTTTTAGCAGGCACAACCCTACAAACGCTAGAGGAGACATTTGCATTCATAGGAATGTCGGGCCTAAAGATGATACGAACAATGCCCAATACCTCCATGCAGGTAGGAGAGGGATGCACTGTTTATACTGGCAATGCGCATGTCGCACACCAGGATCTAGAAAAAGTTCATTTAATGCTAAACTCATTGGGTTTGGCGCAACAAGTACCAGAGCCAATGATCGACGCAGTCACTGGCGTGACCGGCTGCGGACCAGCTTTTGTTTATACCATTATTGAGTCTCTTGCCGATGGTGCAGTGAAACAGGGAGTACCACGGCAGATGGCATTACAATTTGCTGCACAGACATTACTAGGCGCCGCCAAGACGGTGCTTTTGACCGGCAAGCATCCAGCTGTCCTGCGCGATGAGGTCTGTTCACCTGGTGGTTCAACTATTGTCGGTGTACACGAGCTGGAAAAGGGAAACCTCAGGTAGAGAGCACACAAATCAAAATCCGAGAAAAACCAATTAGATAGCATTTTCTTTTGCAGAGCTACGATTATCAATGCCGTGGAGAAGTCTTCATTACGCTCAGCTGAGCTGGGCAAAAAGTAAAGTGTCCCAAACCATTGAGTGTGTCCCTCTACAGGTAAACCTCCCTAGGCATACATGACAAACAGTTCCATTTAAATATACTAAAGGCGGTGATATAATCAACTCATGTACATATATTTATTCACGATCCTTTTTGCTAACATACTCGACACATTTGGAAGGATCGGTTGGAAAGTATTCCTGGCATTTGGTCATCAACCGCTTCAGTCCCTGTATATACTTTCGCTGTGTTTCGTCGTTCATAACATGAGCGACGTTTTTTGAGAAAATCTTTTCGCGTCCCGTTCTGGCATGTATGCCCACCATGGTAACTCCAATTGGCCATGGAGCATTGCCTATGGCCATTTCCAAATAGGCATCACTTGCTGATATGTAATTGCGATTCAGCAAATGCTTACATATGTCCCGTAAGCTGTCAAGAATGTCTTCGGGCAATGTGTGATGCTTCAGTTTACGAAATAATGGCTTCACATACTCCTTCGTCTGTGTGTAAATGACTCGAGTCATTTTCACTTTCGTCGACATTTTCTCATGTTTGGTGTAGCTGGCGATCTGTGCGTTCCACAACTTTAGAAGAAAGGTTAAAAGGGTTATGATGACGTCCATGTCATAGTCTTTGTTTCGTCCCATTTTTTGAGCCATCGCCTGAATGCTCTCCCAGGAAATGGATTCATCTAGCTCCGTGAAGTCTGATTTCTTATCCTCCTTGGCTGTGGGTGTGTTGGCGAACATTTCCTGCAGATATGCTGCATCCACCTGCTCCATTGCTTCCTGGAAATCGTTGCGGAAGCCGCGGTTAGCTTCGGGCTGTGAAATCTCGCAAATTCGTAATCTATCGAATGCTTCCGGCTCAGTCTCGCCAAATAATAGCACAGGTTCGCCGCGCTCCCGTAGTCGACGTATAACTTCAAGGCGAGGTAAAATATTCTGTCCATCAGCTACAAAACTGTATGCGCCCTCAGCCCTTGGTTCCACAACTTGCTCTTGTTTCTTGTAGCCCACTTTTTGTAGTACTTCCTCGGTGTCTTTAGCACTGAGGTCGCCGCGGCGAAAGAACTTTTTCTTATCATCCACTAATTGCTTTTCCTCAAGTAACTTGCGTTTCCGAGCGATTTCTGCTTTTAATATCTCCATTGCTATTTATTTACAACGAGCAAACTATAAATAAAATTACAACTAAAAGGTATGACCATCAGTCAAAGATTTTGGTAATTGAAATGAATTTAAGTATCGGTGTGACCGTTTGTTGAATGAAAATATTAAAAAATACTAAAAACAACAATGAAGCCCTGGTTACCATATGTTATCAAAATTTTATCATTGTTCAGAAAGATAGTGGATTGTAAAATCAAATAGACATAGTGTAACGCGGTTATACTGCTTTTGTAAACAATTAATTAGTAAAGTACATAAAATGCCTAAGAAGATGGGAATGAACTCAAAAGCAGTAGAGGCTCGTGACCGCAAGGATGCCAACAAGAAGGCCATCCAAGAACGCAAAGCAAAGGAAGCCGAAGACCGCTTGTGGCACGACGATGACAAGAATCTTGCCAAAAAACAACAGCGTCGTGAAGAAGAAGAGAAAAAACGGGCTGAAGCTGCGCGTCGTAAGGCGGAATCCAAAGCTTTGTTGGATCAGGAACTTAGCTCAATAAACACCCAACGCAAGCAGCCGCTGGCTAAAATCAATCGCCAACAGATAATAGAAGAGCTGGAAAAGAAACAACGTGTTATGGACGCAATCAATGAAGCCAACAAGCCCTTGGCCCCTCGTGTCGTACTACAGCACAACACCATTGAGGAGAATCTGAACAGATCTCTAGCTGATGCCAATGTTGCCACAAATGTTGACCAGGCCCTGGCAGTGCTTAGGTAAGTGCAACAAATGAATTCAATTCTTTTTGTTTTGTTTAACAAATGGCAAATACAATTATCTATTTTTAGTGTCAAAGACAATGATGACGACAAGCATCCAGAAAAACGTATGAGAGCGGCCTATAAAACATTTGAAGCCAATAATCTTCAACGCATTAAAGCTGAAAATCCTTCATTGCGTATGTCTCAGTGGAAGCAACTTTTGATGAAGGAATGGAACAAGTCTCCGGAAAATCCGTTTAATCAGGCTTGTTGAAAGACCGCAGCCTGTCATTTAGATTGTGAATTTATTGTACTATTTTGTTCAGTTTTTGACTGCCTAGCAGAAAAGCCCATCAATTGAAAAATGTAAAATAACTATTTAGTTTATGCTTAAAATTTAATTTTAGAATGCAAAAATAAATTTGCCAGCCATATTTATTATTCAGATATTACTATTGTCATATCGTTTATACGAGCACATACACCCTATTTCATTAGCAGAAATTTTAAGCCCTCAATGATGGTGCCATTTACTGTCAAATTACTTACATTACGGTTGTGCAACGAACGGGCAATGGTAATAAGCTGATGGCACCTAAATATGTGTGTACCATCTACTTTAATGTGTAATAATGGCAAATATAATTGACGATCGCTTTTCTTTGCCCATTAAATTGTTAATGTTTTGTTTGCTCGGCTTTTTTAACTCTGGTCTAGTTCCGGTTACGTTGGTTTGAGTAGCTATGAATAAGATATGAATGTGTTTATAACATAACCATTAAATTTCCGCTTTCACTATAATCAGACCTACACAAAGGATATGCATATTCGGTTCATCATGATCTTTGAGGATGAAACAATTATACAAGAAAATTGTTTTTTTTTTTAACATAAAAGTTAAGGAAATATAAAAAGTTGTAATTATATTTGCATGCAATTGTAATGAGACATTAATTTTAAAGTTTTTTATTCAAATTTCTTAATGAGAAGTTTAAAAACGTTTTACCAACCGCTGCTCGGTCAAATGTTTCACAACTTAAGTCCACATATCAAGTTAACAGCAACAGCTTTAACAGCCTCTGTTAAGAGGGCAGCTGGTGTACAGCTCATTGAGCCATTCATTTGGCTGTGCTTTCTTTTTTAATAAAATTTCTTTAGACGCATCGGTGCTTCATTCTTCATTCAGTGCGAGACCGTTAACAGTAACAGACGCGTCGTCCAACCATAGAGTCATTAAATACGTGTAAGAGAAATGTAAAACTTGAAACCAATACAATATTAAAATTTGTTCGACGTATGAGTGTGTCGAGCTCGAGTTCAACTAAAAAAAAAAACAGAAAAGAAAATTTTCAGGCGGCAGAGACGAAAGATAGAAAGACGTGGTTGGAAAATAAATTGAATTTTGTATGCCGTCGACATCGGAAATCGCAAACGGTAATTGTGCCCTCTCGCTCTCCAGTGGATTTAAGCGTTCGGTCATCGCAGGTGTACCGCAAGAGGATTTTCTACGAAATAAACTTACCGAAAGGATTGCCAGCAGTTTTTAAGCATAAAGTGAGAACTTTATACATAAATCGATTAGTGAAATCAACATGACCAAAAATATTGGGCTCATATGAAAATGGCTTGAACAGTTTCATCTAATTAGTATTCCGCATACCACGCCTAGAACGCATTTTGTGAAAGAATGCCAAAATTAAACGCAAATTACTCAAATTACACTCCGATTTTACTGTGCGGCATATTGTCCAAGTTTTTGTCGGCAGTCTTTCGTTTCATTCCGTGCCCATTTAACTGTCTGCCTTTGTTGTTCTTCATAGTTAAAGTGGAACTTATTAATCTAGAGCTTTTATATGTTAGTTGACATTGTTTTTGTACCATTTCTTTGGCCTTAATACATGTTCCACTAGTTGGTCGGGTTAGTGCTATATATTTTTTTTTTTTTTGTTTTTTGTCAACTTTTCTGCTCGCATTGACCTTAAATGTGCAACGTTTTTCCCAACTTTTACTTATGTTTAATTAACGCGTATGCAGTTTAATTTGTATATATTTGCACCTAATGCGAAATGTCTTCAATTCATGTATAAGTCCTAAGCAAAATCCCAGATGATTGCGTGATTTGTGTTTCTATGGTTATACAACACAAAATTATGCAGATGTAGTTGTATGCACGCGAAAGACGTTGCATATTACTCTGGTACACACATTCTTAAAGTAAACAAACTATTATTTGCCTTTAAAACTAGATTATTAGATCGCAGGCTGAGGCATTGCCGCAAGCCGTAACTAGCTGCAATTGAAGCAAAGCAAAACGCATCTGTATCAATTCAGTCAGCCAAGTTATGTAGGTTTTGCCCAGTTATGTGCCACAAAGTCAAGTGACCATAAACAAGCTACGTAAGTACCAACAAGTCCAGCAAGCGCTGAGCCAAATTTCCTGATAGAAATCTGGGCAAATGAACACATACAGTTCTGAATGTTTTTTAGGCTAACTCGAGGTGCTTTAATTCAATTTAACCTGCATGGATAATGGGCATATGGAAAATGGCGAACTCTTATTGGGTGTAGTTTGTATAGTGTGTCTGGCATTCTGATTGGGTTTTTGCTTAAATAGTTTTGTCCACTCTTTCCCTTGATCTTGTAGTTTGCATTGTGGTAGCTTTGATTGGCCAACTAATTACTGCTAGCTTAAAGTTTCTTTATGAGACAATTTCACATTTCTTTTGAATGTGGTTTTTTCTGGAATAAAAACATAATATATTAGCTTATTTCTTATAGCCAGCTTGTCATTTGTCCATTTGATTTATGGCATAATGCAATTGTGAATTTTAGATTTTAAGGCTCCTTTGACTAAAATAACATTTAGGTTTTCGATGACTCTCAGATTTTTCTTGCTATTAATAGACATTTGAAATGATTCACAGCAGTTTCCCAAGCCAAATTTTAAAATTTCAAGCAACGAGGCGAAACCTGCTTTTAAACAACCACAACGACAATACATAAAAAAAATCATATACATACATACATATATTTGTGTGAGTGTGTGTATTTCTGCAAGTGTATGTCTTTATGTAAATTTGAATGACTGAGACCGATTACGCACCTTAAAAAGTGAAAATTTTGGCATTCTTTTTTTTTGTTTTGTATTTTGCTTTCTGTTTTTATGAGATTTGATGGCAAAATAATGAAAAAATCGGTTTTAAAATTCTCATAGTTAAATCCTTTGTTTTCTGAATCGATCAAATTAACATAATTTGATTATGTAGCACAAAAATGTTAGCAATACTTAAAAAAAAATGCATTAACAATAGTTATTGCCAGTTACAACTGGAATTGAGATATTTGCTACGCAAACATCATAAAAATACTCAGAGACTCGGCCAGGCCCAGGTCTGTACAACTGTCCACATTCCATTCTCGAAGGTAAAGCAGAAGAAGAAGAACTAACAGCAACAGTGGAGGCAGGCATTGGCCATCTCCAGTACTTGGTCTTAACGGGGTCAGCTTTTTAGTGCTTAGACGGGGTTTGTTTTGGCCGGGGTTTAGTTGTCTGGCGTTAATTCAAAATAAAATAAAAAATATATGTCTATGAAGAACAAAATAAATTTCACTGATTTTCATTAAATTGTTACGGGTCTTACGACTTCGGCTTTGCCACTTAGTTTTGGCTACTCTGCTATATATAAAAATTGTTAGGGTTTTTTTTTTCTTTCTTTGTATTTGTGGTTAAAGTTGAGCATAAAGTCGTCTGCGTGTGCGCACCGCGTCAGAAGTTGAGCGAGAAATTTTGACTGTCAAAAGTGAAAGTTGCAGCTGCAGCCAATGCCGTTGAAAGAAATGTAGAAAAGCGGTAGCTGGGGCCCCGCCTGATGAATCAACTCACAAGCGGCAGTTTAAAGTTGAGGCTTGCGAAGCGCCAAGGTTTCTTCAAGCTGTGATGTTTTTTGTTGCTTAGCAATCGCTTTAGTCTCAACATTTTCGTAATTATGTTTTGTGTTTTACATTTTGCTGCTGGAATATTATATGATTATTCTCATTAACAAATTGGGTTCGTTTTCTCCGTTTATTATCAACAAATAAATTCCCATGTTTGCGCTCAGTTCAAATGCCATTCAGATGCATCTGCGGTCAATAATTATTATACAAATTTAACATATTTTCGGCAATGCATGAAAAATGGGTCAAATACGAACAGTTCATCGAACTTTTGGCCAGTAGAGAGCGAGCAATGCCAAGGCGAGCCATAACTCTTTTTCAATATTTAAATTTAATTAAATTAGCACTTTCTACACGTTTCCCCTGCAACGGCTGGCCATATAATTTGTCGCTGCTTCATATTGAATAATAATTTCAAACAATTAGCACAGTGACCCAAATGCGTACATTAAAGCATAATGCGTAAATAAGTAAAAATGTACATTTTGGCTCTCAGTGACATTACATACATTTCATCATAATATCATATTCATACATCAAATTGCAGTTAAAGAATGCGATTAACACACAAGCACTCAAGTTTGTGTCTTAAGTTTTTCGTTTTGCACCCTATAACTGACAAAATGCACTGGTCTTGAGGAATGCATTATTGACAGGTTTTTCGTGTTTTTTAACATTTGGCTTCATTTCTTGCTCCGTTGATATCTTGTTATCCTGTGTACCCAAAAATGATTTAAAGGGTATCAACAAATATTTGTGCACATAAATGTTTAGAGAGCATGATGTATTTCTTGATTTGTGTGAACATAGACCTGTTTGCGCTGTGTGCTGCTAAGCATTTATTACTGCAACAGACCAGTAAAAACTAATACTTAAGGTCACAATTTACTTGCGGTTATGGAAAAGTTACCGTATTTACAGTAAAAGAAGTATGATGTGATCAAATAGAAATATCTCTGGTCAGATAGTTCTAGTTCTAGTTGAATATGAACAGATGACTAATTTAGATCTGCTCATAGGGTATTTTCCTGTCGAATAATTTCAACTATATCGTTCTTTCCTGTTCTTACCGAGCATGGCAGGTTGTCGTCGACGGCATTATCGATGGTGCGTATCACATATTGTAAAGTAAACAAGTTTCCTAAAATATGACCCATTTACCCAGTTAACCAGTGTTCTGATCTGCGATATTGAGAAGCAAATGCAAATAGCTTCTTTAGTTATCTTCGTGTTTGATTGTAGAAATACTCGCATAAAACGCAATTACTGCAAGACATGGTCTTTGAGAATAATTGACAATTCGTTTGACAATTTAAATGAAAGTTGATCGGTATCTCCACGCACCACTTGCACTCGCTGAAAGCGGCTATAAAACTAGTCCCAGCTTAATGGGCATGCAGAGCGGTTGTGGTAATGTGTTGGCGTTGACAATTGTCTTGCCACAATTGTTTCTTGGCTTTTGCGAGCAAATCTCTGCTAACTTCCACAATTTAACTAGTAGAAGGAATATTACTTTCGCCTGTCTACTAAGAAATAGCAGCTAGGATCTCGCTTTTTTAAGACTCTAAGGCTACTCTGTATTTTGTGATTCTAGCAGGAATGCTGGATGTTGTCAACCATTTCTTAAAAGAACACACCTGTATATCAGCCGGGTTCCAAGCATTAAGTATATAGCTGAGTCGAAATAAATGGCCGAAATCCTTTTAAAATGTATGAATACAACAATGTATACAAGGATTTCTTTTATCTATTTGAC